CAGGGAGATACTCAGGTTCCACAGTCAGGCCTCACTATCTCTGCTTCCCATGGGATGCCTGAGTCAGATGGGGAGTGGGAGAGTGCTCTCTGCCCAGTGTGGGTGATGGCATAAGGAAAGAACAGAAGGACCTGGTGGCGAGTTAGCCCTCATCTGCCTTAGTTTACTGGAGAGTGGCAGGGGGCAGGGTCTGTGGATGGCGTGATGTAGCCCAAGCTCACCCCAGGGCACCTGATAGGCCCTGGTGGAAAATCTGGGGGCAGGCCACCCCCAGCAGCTCAAGAGTGTGGGTCACGCTGCCCGAGTTCCCTCCTCTGCCCCCTTCCCTCCTCAAGGTCGTTGGCATCAAGTCCCCCCCTCACTGCCCCCCTCCCTTCTGCTCAGTGATGCTCAACACTGGGGCTCTTTGATCCCAGGTACTAGGATTACAGGCCTGGAAGGAAAGGGGACTGGGTGCCTCCTTCCTGAGACCCTCCTTCCTAAAGGCAAATCCAGGCAAAATACCTTAAAAACAAACAAACAAAACAAAAAACAAAAAACCCAACTAAGCCAGCAAATAGAGCTCAGGCTTTCTTCAAACCTCAGTCCATCTTTACAATCACCTTCTGAAAGCCCTTTGAGGCCCCCCCCTGGAGAATGACCCAGAGCCACCTGCAGCCTCTCAGGTCCCTGTACCCACTGGGGGCTCATGGCTGATGGAATGCAGCTGTGGTCTACACGGTGGTGGATTCCAGGAACCCTAATTCCGTGATTCACTGCCTTGGGAGACCTCTTGTGACCTGACCAAGGTCTTCGGGGTTGGGATGAAGTCATTAAAGGAAGTGCAGTCATGTCGGTACAAGTGGCAACTAGGTTTCCTAGTGAAGGAACGGAGGAGGGAAAGGAGGAGGCGGGAAGCGAGCCTGGGAAAATGGACTCCAGAACAGGGACGGGCAAACCACAGCGGGTAGGGCAGAGGATCAGGGCTTGAGGAGGAGAGTCAAACACTTGTTCATCGCCATTCTGGGCAGGAGGAAATGAGAAGTGACCACAGGTCAGGCCAAAAGCAAGGACCAACCAGGACTTCTCAAATGAAACTAAGAAGCCACCAGGTCATATTCCTTTGGGCCTGCCTGGGAACCCACCATCAGGCCCCCTCCCTCTGCCTGTGGCCCACACTCCAATGACCAAGGGAGCCAGGGCTGATGCCCTAAGCCTAAGCCTTGGAAAGCTTAACATCCCTCCAGGCAACGAAAGCACTTGGCCCTGCTCCCACCAGGTGCAAAACCCCCCAGTGTCTCCCCGCCCCCCATGCCTAGCACCCAGGTACAGAGAAGCTTCACAAAGGCAGTTTATGCACAAACATTACAGAAGAGTGTTTCCTGGCTGTGACTGAGCAGGAGCCAGAGACAGTAAGGGATGTGGTCCCTCCCACGAAGGCGCTTCTGATGAGGCCTGGGGCTGCCCATGAATGGACGTGTTTGGGAGCACACACAAGGGTTGTGTGCCCATGAGCACACGCAAGGGTTGTGAGGAGTTAGCCACACAACCACGGGCAGGACACTAGGGTAAGGGACAGCCTCCTCTCCAACCCACTGCAAGCCTCTGATGACCCGGCTCCCATCTAGGCCCCCCCAGTGACCACACTACTCAGGGCTCAGGTATCTGCTGGCTGAGTACCAAGTACCCACCCTCCTGTGTGTCCTCAGTGCACCCCAAGGCTGGACCCAAGAGTGCCTGAGCTTAGGGCCCCCAGCGCACCCCATTTGGCCTGCCATCGGACTCCTGGAAGGCTGGGCGCTACATTTTACCGCATCACGGCCACCTTCTTGGGCCTCCCACCTCCCGCCGTCCTCCTTAATTCTCCCAGGCCCTCTTCCCTTCTCAGACATTCTCATCCTCCCCCATGGCCTCAGATACCACCTCGGCGGCTCATGACGCCTAACCCAGTCTCATCAGCCTAGACCTCCCCCCTAAGCTCCAGACATGATTATCCAACCTGGCCAAACATCGGTGTCCCATAAACCCTCACGCTCCATGGGTCTGACTGGCTTCATTTTTCCCCCAAAACCTCCTCCTCCAATATGCCCCACTTCAATGAACAGCACCACCCATGTTTTCTAAAGTTATCATGGTGGGTGGATTCCCTCCCCTCCGGCGGCGCCCCAGACTCCGACACCAGGCTCCCGGCTCCCAGCTTCTCCTTAGACAACACTGCCGAATCTCTCAACGTTTCCCTGTCACTGCCTCGCCCTCCCTTACCCACCACCCACTCGGTCACCAGAGTCAGGTCCCCAAACACAATCACTGAGGTCCAAGTGAAATATATAATTCAACCAAACAATTAGACTACAAGGTGACATAAGGACATAAATGCAAAAGCCCCGGAAGGAAACAGGCGAGGCACAGCCCCCAAACCCGTACCCAGCCCTTTGTTTCATATTGAGAAACCAGTGTGCCTCCTCCGTACAGTGAAATATTACAATACGTTCTCTTTTCATTTAAGACTCTCCCGAGGAAAGATTAATAATTTTACAAAGTTGGGGGAGGCAGGAGGGTGGCAAAGTGTTTAAGAAAAAGCAGTAACCATAAAAAATTCATTTCTCCCACGCAGACAAAACCCCTGCTGGGGTTTCGGCAATAGCAGCAAGGCCGGCCCCTCTCCAGTTTGCGCTGCAGGGCTGTTTTCTGATCCAGACACCAAATCCCACTAGGCAGAAAAGCACAACACAAGCCTGCTTGTTGTTTTCAAGACAGAAGGGAAAATCTAAAAAGGCAACCAGTTGCAAACTTCCTGCCTAATCGCCAAGGATGGGAGAGGCTGCTGGAATCTAGTACTTTTTCTCTCCATCTGGTCTTAAAAAAACAGAAATTAGACACTCTGGTTCAACAAGAGCAAGAAGGATTAAAAAAAAAAAAAAAAAAAAAAAGAATTGCTGTCTAAAAGCCTGACCCTTTCCACTGCCTGATCTTCAGCAGGTGCATGAGGCCTGCCTACTTGTCCAGCCTGTTCCTCACCATCTTGCTCTAGGAGGATCACCTGTTTGTTCCACATTTCCCTAACACTGTGCCTTTACCCACATCGTTCCCTCTTCCCGACATGCCCGTTCCATTGTCTATCTGGCAAACACTTACTCAGTAAGACAAATCAAATGTCGGCTCCCTTTACGAAGCCTTTCTGACTGACCCCTGGAGACCACTTTCTCCTTTCTGCTCCCCTTTACCTCACAGAGATAACTGTTAAAGTACCTGTAACTCATCAACCTTTAGATCTGCTTCCCCCTATAAACCACAAACCCCCTGTGGGCAGGAAGCATGTCACTTTCTTCATCTCAGTATTCTCAGACCTAGCTCAGTGCCTGATCCAAAAGAGGTCTTTAACAAAATGTCTACTGAATGAATAAATATCTATACTGAGCTCTTGGCTCTTAAGCAAACCATTCAGATGATCCTAGTCTTGTCCCAGACTCCCAGGTCCAGGGTAACATAGCCCAGGAGTGCTAAGAGTGGGGCCCCATGAACAAAACCATCTGAGTTGAAGGGTGCTAATGACCGCTTACACAAGTTCAAGTGCATGCACTTGGAAGGAGCGGAGAACAGCAACGTTCACAGGTGGGAAGACAACCTCAACAAGAAAGTAAGTCCAGTCAACTCCCTCAGTCATGTTGATGGAGGAAAACGATGTAGCAAACATTTCCAACCAGCGGAGAATCCATCGATCAACATCATTAGGATTTGAGACATGTATTATTTCATTGCAGTAAATTGGTCTTCTAGATTCCATTTGGCTCAAGCTACAACCATATAATAAAAGATGATAGGTATCTAATGTTGGGCTTTATGAAGCATCACACTTAGTAATGCAGACACCTGGGTAGGGCAGGAAGTTCCCCTTACCTGGCACAGTCCTGGGGTGCCTGCCTAGATGGCTCTGGCAGCTCCCCTTCCTGATGTTGGTGGAAACCAGGACTACTGAGAGGACTTGACCCAAGGCTGCCCCAGCCAGGTCAAAGCCGGAATGGGTACTGGTAGGTTTTTCCATTTCTCAGCCCTGTGTCCACAGCCTGGAAGTGGCTTTGCACAGTCACTTGCTCCCCTGTGCCCCCAGTTATGGCTGGCATTGACATAGGAACTAGACTCCAACTACCTAGGAAGGGCAAAATGTGAAGAAGGGAGAAACTTGGCTAAGAGGAGGGAGGCCCAGGAGGGGTGGGGCTGTGGTAACCTTTCCATCTAGCAGAACACTGACTAGTGCGAACTCCACTGCATGAAAGGAGAAACCATGAGCACCATGAAAGGAGAACCCAGGGTTCAGAGCTGGACAGGGAAGATGGCTCTGGTCTGGGGTGGCTTGATCCCAAATGTCTCTCTTCCTGCCTTTCCATTCAGCAGTCTTCCTTCCCACCCCACAGCCTCTTCCTGACCCCACTGCATCTCCCCAGATTCCAGAGAGCCCCACCCTCACCCCACCCCTGCCCCCCTTCCCTGCCCCATAAATACAATCAGGCACAATACACAGTATCCATCCTGTGCGACCCACAACTCACTTCAACCTCTCCCACCCAATTTCTCCTCCTAACTAAATTGCCCCTCCTGTGTCTCCCTATCACCTGGCCTCAGAGTCTGGCCCCTAACTCCGTTTTCCATTTGTCCTTTCCCTGCCCCACCAGCTTCCCTCCAGGGGCTACTTCCTGCACTAGGCTTGCCTCCAGGCACCTGCTAGGAGCCAGCCATTTAACACTGACCACTCCCTGTAAGCCCCCAGTGACTCATTCCCCGCTCCCAGCCTGGGCTGCTGCCGTCCCTGTACCTTTAACAAACCTCCACGTGCATGTTAACGGCGGTGACAGCATTTCCTTGTGTCTCTGCTCCCGCCCCCGGAGGCGCCGCCCATTGGCTGCTGAGTTCTTCTGCTCTCGCTCTAATTGGCCTCGCTCCCGCAAAACTCCAACCAATGGCCTCTCGGCGCCTGTCTCCCTCCTCCGACCCTGAGCGCCCATTGGCTCTGGGGACTTAGTACCTGTTAGCCGGGCTTGGCAACTGGAGAATTCTTCCTTCCCCCGGGTAAAGTCCCATGCTGAGAAATTGGTTCCGAACCCAACGGAACCTGGCGCCGGGCGACGCCGGGTCACGTGGCTGGCGGCCTCATGACGTGCGGGCTGCGAGGCGTCACCGCGACGTTCGGGCAACCTACCGAGCGGCTCCTACCTCCACCACCTGTGCGGTGGCGGTGTCGTCATGGACCTGGGACCGATGCGCAAGAGTTACCGCGGGGACCGAGAGGTGCGGCCGCCGCCGGGCAGGGCCTCCCGCAGGGAGGGGTCCCCGCGTCATCCCCCGAGGGGAGGGGAGTTTGGGGTCACCCGCGTAGGAGAAGGGTGTTCAAAGACAACCAACAGGGGGCGGGGCTCTGGGGAAACAAGGATGAGAAGAGGCAGCAGGTCACAGTGGGTACGCTCGAGCTCTGGGGGCGGCCCTGGCTGGGATCCTGCCATTCACGAGGTGCATCTCCTTGGGCGATAACTTAACCCCTCTGGGCCTCAGAATTTCCTCACCTGGGAATTGAGTACCTTACTCAGGGATGTTGTGGACTTTGATATTTGCAAAGTGCTTAGAACAGTGATAATCAGCTTCTAAATATTTGATAAGTGACACATGGACGAGGGGTACTGACTCAAGGAGGTGGGGAAGAGAAAGCTCCAGCTCTCACTCACTGCCTGATTCAGCCCCTTCCCTTACCATTTCCAGAAGTTCTTTTGCTTTTTCCTCCTGAGAGGAGGATCCAACAGAACTGTTTAGGAATCGAGGCCAGAGCCACCGTTTCTAAATCTGGTTGTGTGTGCGCATTTCCAGAAGTACTTGTTAAACATTTTGTGAAGCAGTTTTTCCTTAAACCTCAGACCTACTGAGAATTGGGGGGGGCGGAGCCCAGGAATGTGGCTTTTTTTTAATGCTCCCCAGGTGATAGGTTTGACACCCTAATTCATCGATCACTAGCTATGGGACTTGGCAACTTATGCCATGTGTTTATGCCTCTGTCCTCACCTGTAAAATAGGACTAGCAGAACACGGGTGCTGTTTTTTGTTTTAATGAAAAGTGCCCGGAACAGTACCAGGTACACAGTAAGCGCTGTATGTGTTTATTAAATACAACTCTCCTTTCTCAGGCATTTGAGGAGACTCAGCTGACCTCCCTGGACCCCGTGAAGCAGTTTGCTGCCTGGTTTGAGGAGGCTGTTGAGTGTCCTGACATAGGGGAAGCCAATGCCATGTGCCTGGCTACATGTACCAGGTAGGCATAGCTGTGGGCCCATCTGTGAGTGGGTACAGATGAAGCAGGAAACTTAGGAAACTCTCAACTTAGTGGAATGCAAGTTTATGTTACAGCTATGTTATTAGCATGCTGGGTGGCCTCAGGCATGTTACTTGTCCTCTCTGGGCCTCCGTGCCCTTACCTGTAAATGAAGATCACACTTCACCTAATTCCATTTCAGTAATAAATGTACTGCCTCGTTTATCTCTGCTCTTAACGCACCTCCCCCCAGCACCTCTGTCTTTCTCATCCCTATTTACCCAGTTCCCATCTGCCCTTTAAGAGCTACATCTCCTGGGGGGCACCTGGGGGGCTCAGTCAGGCTTCCAGCTTCAGCTCAGGTCATGATCTCACGGTTTGTGAGTTTGAGTCCCGCATTGGGCTCTCTGCTGTCAGCGTAGACCCCACTTCAGATCCTCCGTCCCCCTCTCTTTCTGCCCTGCGCATGCACTTTCTCCCTCGTTTGCTCACTCTCAAAAATAAACATTAAAAAACAAAACAGTTACATCTCCTGGAACCTCTCCATAAAGCTCCCTCCCTCTTCTGAAAGCTAGCACAGTGCTTGGTTGTATTATTTATTTAACAATCAGTCATATACCCCACGAGACACCTCTTGTATTAGCCTGTTATTCAACTCTTCCTTTCTCCCCTCTATCAAAGTGTAAGGCCTTAAAGACAGGGCTCTTGTTCTGTGCCCCTGGATATCCCCCAGAGCTCTGAGCAGAGACCCTGGTATAACCACCTTTACTGTGATCACTAAGCATTGGCTGACTGCAGTATTGCTGGAGTCCGCTAGGACTGCTATGATAAAATACCACAGACTGATAGGCCTAACCAACAGAGATTTTATTTTCTCACAGTTCTGAAAGCCAGAAGCCCAAAATCAAGGTGCTGTCAGAATTGGTTCCTAATGAGGCCTCTCTGGCTTGTAGAAGGCCGCCTTTTTGCCGTGTCCTCACATGGCCTTTCCTTTGTGCATGCAGGGAAAGGAAGGGAGAGAGAGAGATCTTTCTGGTATCTCTTCCTCTTCTCATAAGGACACCAGACCTATTGAAATTAGTCTCCCCTTTATGACCTCATTTAACTTTAATTACCTCCCTCAAAGCCCTATCTCCAAATATAGTCACATTGGGGGTAAAGGATATGGGGGGGGACTCAGGGGAACACAGTTCAGTCCATAACAGGCCCCCGGCAGTGATGTCATACTTGCACCTCTAGGATAAATCCCCGAGGGCAAGTGGGAATGGGTAGCCTGTGTGCCCTGACAGTGCAGAATAAGGGGGCACAGGTGGGGGTTGCTCAGGGGAGCATCTGTGGGGAGGGGTGGTAGCAGGGACTGTGAAATGGGCTCTGATCACATGCTCTGATCTTTGCCCCAGAGACGGAAAACCCTCTGCCCGCATGGTGCTGCTGAAGGGCTTTGGCAAGGATGGCTTCCGTTTCTTCACTAACTTCGAGAGTCGAAAGGGAAAAGAGCTGGTGAGGGTTCACAGTAAATCCTCCCGGGCCTGCAGGGTCCAGCCCTCGCTTCCTCCGTCGCTTTCCTATGCCATCCCTGCTCCAACCCACTTGCTGTCTGTGGTTAGGCACCGTCCTGCCTGTGGGCCTTTGCACTTGTCCTTCTCTTTGCCGGGAATGAGGGCTGCCTCTGACCATCCCTGTCATCTGTTTACCTAACTGCCTAAGTCCCTCCTGTCCCTTCGGCTCTCAGACCCAGGAAAGTCCTCCTCAGTTCCTGTGCTACATCAGTCACTGTTCACTGTCGTTATAACTTGTAGCTTTACTTTCTGCCCTTTTTCCAGTTTATAATTGTGGGTTTATTTATGTGGTCGTGTGATTTGTATTTGTCTCCTCTGCTAAACCCCCAGTAAGCTCTGTGGGGACAGAGGCTGCATCTGTTGTTTCTGTTATTCCCACCACCACCACCCCCAGCACCTCTCCTGACGTCAAGCCTAGACCTGATACTCTGTGTGCATTCTACTCATGAATCCAAAGAAGTAGCCCTCCCTGAGTCCATGCCAGCCCCAAATGCATTTCTGAGGACTTGCCAATCTATGGATTAGAGACCTGGCAAGCCTCACTTTGGAGTCCACATGGCTTTGGTTCTCAGCATAGCTCTACCACTTACTGTGTGAACTTGGGCATGTTACTTAACCTCTCTGAGTCTATCTCCACACCTGTAAAAGTAGGCACACCTTTGAGGGTTTCAATGAGATGCTGTAGTGAATGCATCCGCTGGGGGCCTGCGTGCTACAGACTTCCTGCCTTCTTTCTGCATGGCGGAGGTGTCCTCCCTGCTGTTCTGCTGGCTGACTGTGAATTCTCTTTCATTTTCAGGACTCCAATCCCTTTGCTTCTCTTGTCTTCTATTGGGAGCCTCTCAACCGTCAGGTGAGTGAGCGTTCCCAGGACAGCCTGGGGCTCATGATGGATGAGCCCCGTGGAGGTCCCCAGGCCAGGCAAACATCCCACCTCTCAAATACCTCTCAGGGAGCTGGTCTGCTTGGGGTCAGCAGTGATGGGCCGGTGGGTAAGGAGAAGAGAGAGGAAGGAGGCCTGTGTTGGTAGGGAGGGCGGGTGGTATTGAATGCTGTCTAGCCAGGGCCATGCCTGAGCAGGTGCGTGTGGAGGGCTCCGTGAAGAAGCTGCCTGAGGAGGAGGCTGAGTGCTACTTCCACTCCCGCCCCAAGAGCAGCCAGATCGGGGCCGTGGTCAGTCACCAGAGTTCTGTGATCCCCGATCGGGAGGTGAGTTGGGCCCCTCCTTAGTTCTCCGGGTGGCAGGGGCCTTCGCTCCTCCCCAGCAGCTGTCTCCGGGGGATGCCAGGGCCCTTCCTCTTTAGCAGAATGAAAAGATGGTCTTCCTGGGGAAGTAAGGATGAGTAGTGGGGAAACTGGCTTCCTTCGTCTGACCCTCCAGTTGGACTGTGCTCCCAGAGGCCAGCCTGCCTTGATTACCTGTGTCCCCCGTGCCTGGCACACAGCACGTGCTTAGTAAATCGTTAGTAAGTGGTCTGGGCCTTCCTCCATTTCCTTCCCCTGGACAGTATCTGAGAAAGAAAAACGAGGAACTGGAACAGCTCTACCAAGAGCAAGAGGTGCCAAAGCCGAAATACTGGTGAGTGATACCTGCTGGTCCTTCAGCAAGGGGCACCAGAACCCTTATGTTTACTCACAGCCACCTTATCTGTGGAATTACAGATCTATTTCCCCCTGGTAATCCTCCTCAGATGCATCCCAGCGACTTCCTTCAAGGGGCCCTGGGATGGGGACTCGGGACGGGGGGCCCTGGGATGGGGACCTGCTGGAAAAACGCACAGAGCACGAATCCGCTGCTTCTCCTTGAAGGGGTGGCTACATCCTGTACCCACAAGTGATGGAGTTCTGGCAAGGCCAGACCAACCGCCTGCATGACCGGATCATCTTTCGGCGGGGCCTGCCAGCAGGAGACCGCCCTTTGGGGCCCATGACCCACCCTGGGGAGGAAGACTGGCTCTACGAGAGACTTGCACCCTGACTTCCAATCTGTTCGTGCCGACCAGAGCTGAGGCCGAGTGCTAAGAGAGGGTGTGGGGTCTGGAGCCAGACCCTTCTAAACTCAACCCATTTCCCTCCCTACCCCTTATATTGAAGGCTCTCCGGAGTTCAAGCTCCAAATTCTGTATTTTCAGTTGGCTTTCCAGTAGGCAGTCTAGTAGAGTGGATAGGCATTTACAAATGGGAAAAAAAGAAATCCCACAATTATGTTCTTGACCTTGAATGTGATTTATTGGGAGAGTTCCCTCAAGAGGTAATCGCTGGTGTGATTCCCTTTTTCTGGTGACCCTGAGAGGGCCCCCAGCTGCCCTGTTACCAGTGTGACTGAGCCATACTGCCCAAAGCTGATTGGTTCCAGCGTAAGCACCTGAGCCAGTCTAGCCAATCGTTTTTTTCTTGTCAACAATTTGAAATTTGAAATGAAGAGATCCAGAGTCTGAGAGGCATTGTAGCCAAGTCGTTAATGGCAGCCAAGAAGATACAGCCTCCAGCTGCTGCTCTTGAAATTCCCTGAGTGACCTTGGATCCCTTCTCCCACCTCTGGGTTGTGCAATTCCTCCTCCCACCTCAAAACACCCACTATCCTGTGGGGGGTGGGGGTGGGGGGAGGAGGAAAGGAAGAGGAAGGGAAGAGGAAGGGAAGAAGGAAGTTAGGAAGGAAGTTGTTTGGCGCTTAAACTAGCTAGAATCAATTTCTGTTGCTTGCAACTAAAGGAGACTTAACTTACTTACTTGTGTACCCTACTGATAACTGCCTCCCATTATCTGAAGCACCACGATGTGGAAAATGGATTAAATTTATTATCTGGAGCTCCAAAGGCAACATAAGTGGAAGTTGCACGGAAGTAGATTTCATCTCAATGTGAGGAGAGACTTCAAATAGCCAGGACTGCCTAAGATGGAGTGGACTACCTGTTAGGTCGCAAGTGTCTCTAGAAGTATTCAATCCCAGGTAGTCAGAAGTTTTATAGAAGGGATTCATGTGCTGGTACCTATCAGCCCGGCAGATTTCAAGCAAGCTTTACTTTCCATGCTTGTTTATGAGAATTATATCTGCGTGTATATATACATACATATATATATTTCATTTTCCACATATAAAATTGTTTTAGGGTTTATACTTTTCTCACCACTCCTCACTCCCCCTCACCAATCCCCCCCCCCCCCACCCCACCTCTACTGATGATGACTCCTAGACACTGGTTTTCTTCCGTTCTGGAATTACTCAGGGAGCTTTAATCAGATGTGATTTAACTGGCCCGAGTGTGGTCGGAGCTTTGGGAAATTGAAAAGCTCCCCAGGGAATTCAGTGTTGCCAAAAGTCGAGAGCCTCTGGTTTAGATCCTTGCCACTCACAGTGTGGTCCACAGACCAGCAGCAGCAATACCACTTGGGAGCCCCAGACTCGTGGATCCCATTCTACATTAAAAAAAAAAAAAAAAAAATTCTTTTTGACCTTTATTTTTGAGAGAGAGAGAGGTTGGGGGAGGGGCAGAGAGAGAGGGAGACACAGAATCGGAAGCAGGCTCCAGGCTCTGAGCTGTCAGCACAGAGTCCAACTCGGGACCTGAACCCATGAACCACGAGATTGTGGTCTGAGCCGAAGTCAGATGCTTAACCAACTGAGCCATCCAGGCGCCACCCCCCCCCCCCACTTTCTACATTTAACAAGACTGCCCCCCCCCCCCAGGTGACCCTGACCTCCAAACCAACGACCTCCCATCCTCACCACTGGATTCTTCATCAAGGCTGGGCTGAGGCCTGTGCTGAACTGTATTTACTTTTCCTGAGCTCAAGTATGGTGACCAATGACAACCTGAATGAATGGCTGTGGAGGGGAGCCAGGCTGGGTAAATGTTTGCTGTGACTAAGCCAGGACCAGAGATCTATTATCTGTGCACGTTGGCATTGAACTTGCCAACTCTGTGAACTGCTTCATTCCACTGTGTGGGTGTGTGCCGCGCGTCAGGGTCACGAACCGGCTTCTCCAAGGGTGGCCCTCTCGGTGCTGGTCCCCCTCTGAAGCCTGAGTGCAGGCAGGCACAATGCTAACCCTGTGGCCACTGTAGGAGAGGGCGCTGGGGTGCATTTCTCTACTTTGCCTTGTTATTGGAAGCTGTGTATCCCCCCACCCCCACCCCCTAGGTGTGGGCCTGGTTTCAGCTGTTCCTTTCCTGTTCTTTGACAATCACTGTGCTAAGTCCGTAATAAAAGTTCATCAGCAGTGTGTGAGACGAATATGCAGCCAGGCCTGGCCTCATCCCCACCACCCCAGGGAAGAGGGGAGTTGGGGAATTTAAGCCACACCTCCTCTCCCCTAGAGGTTGGGCGGCCAGCAGGGGGAGCCCGCCACCCAGGGTTGGCCCCTTCTGGGCAGTGCAGGCCAGTTCTGGCCAGCCCCTCCTGCCTCCCCCCTTCCCCGCCTTGGGTCGTGTCCCAGTGAAACTGTGGTCGATAACCCGTAGCCTCTTGCAGCTCCTGCACATATTTGCACTCTCGGTTCCTCCTCCTCCTCCGGCCTCGTGAAAGCTTGCAGCTGCCTCCCTCCGACTCCCTGGCCAGCCAGATTTCCCTTCGGCTTTTAGTATGCACCCACCACCTGCCCCCAACTTAGGGAAATATGCGGGGCTTCCCTGGAAGATTCCTGTGGACATCACTTTGGGGCTGGAGCAGGGTCTCCGGCACAAGGCAGAGGGGCCGTAGACCCTCTCTCCTAAGAGGGGTAATGGTGGCAATGCGGTGCCAGCATTGGGTAGAAGCAGGGCTTGGTGCCCCAGGGCCCAGCATCATCCCCAAGCCCCACCTCCCTCAAGGAACCTCAAGATGGGCTCAAGTGGCAGGTTCCTATAGTCCGGTGTCTCAGAAGACACTCAGCCTTGAAGGCGGTTAGCTTTCCCCCATTGGTGCCGGAATCGGGATTCCAAGCCCCAGACATTGCCCTCTCCTCTCCCAAGCGGATGAGAATCAAGAGTGGAAGGGGCTGTGTGCAGCAGTCATGTGCACAGGCCAGCCCCGGCTTCAGTCTCAGCTCTACCATTGCAAGCAAATGGCTTCACTTCTCTCCGCCTCAGCTAACTCAGCTGGAAAATGGGGAGGACAGCACCTGCCTCAGGTGATGAGGGGATTGAATGAGGAACCTCAGGGCCTGGCCCATCGTAAGCTCTGTGTAAACCTTGGCGATTCACAGTGGACAGGGCTAGAGTATGGGGGAAGTCAGCTCCTCCGTGGGACATTTTATGGATTAAGTAATTGGCTGGACCCTAGAAAGTTCCATGTGGTGAGGATAGGGGAAGAGGCCTTGGGGAAGGCAGCACCTGAGTCAGCCTTCCTTCCCTTCCTCCGGCTCCTGGTGTCCCTCACTCATCCTCAGAACTCCCCCTGGCCTGGGTGAGGCCACCCAACAAAGGCCCCCTTGTATAGGTCTGTTTGTTTGGGTAATAAATTTCCCTGAGCCACACTCCCTGGGGTGGAGTGGCCCAACAGCCTGCAAGCAACTGACCTGGAAGCTGCAGGACCACATTGTTTGGTTGCCACCTTGGTTTCTCCCTGTTCCCACCAAGAGCTCCAGAAATTTGTCCAATTTTTTCTAGTTCCCAACTCCTGGGGCTTGAGAAAGATCTGGACCTAATAGCACAGGGAGCACACTCTTTCCTCTTCCTTAAACAGAAACCGTGGGCTATGGTGGAGTTCTTTAATAAAGGGAAACCAATGTTAACTGAGCACCTACTATAGGACTATTTATGGGACACTTAATATTGGCCATTCCCATGAAATAGGTACTATAACAACCCTTTTTACAGAAGAGGAAACTGAGGTAGAGGTTCAGAGAACTTTTTTTTTTAATTTTCCCCAAATCACCATTTTTACTAAGCTATGGAGTGAGAATTTGAATCCTGATCCCAAACCAAACCCCTGCGATTTGGGGGTCAGTCTCCAAAGGTCTCCTCCACTCTCTTAGAGCCCCTGATGGTCTCTCTGTTGACCAGAAGTAACTGACCACTGAGTTGAAAATAGCCCCTCCCTTTGCTATATTTTCACATTGGGGACCCTTCCTTTGAAAAAGAAAAAAAAAAGAAAAAAGAAAAGAAAAGAAAAGAAAGAAAAAGAAAGAAAGAAAGAGAAAAGAAAGAAAAAGAGAGAAAGAAAGGAAGGAAGGAAGAAAGAAGAGAAAGAAAGAAAGAAAGAAAGAAAGAAAGAAAGAAAGAGAAGAAAGAAAGAAAGAAAGAAAGAAAGAAAGAAAGAAAGAAAGAAAGAAAGAAAAGATTTTATTTTTAAGTAATCTCTACACCCAACCTGGGGCTCAAACTTACAACCTGGAGATCAAGAGTCACATGCTCTACCAACCAGCCAGGTGACCCCTGGGGATCCTTTCTGATGCTTGATAGGAACACTTTGAGCACAAAGTTCTACTTTACTTACACGAAGGGAGTAAAGGCATTAGAAATGGGCCTCAGTAAATGTAAGACAAAAGCATAAATAGGTTCTCTGCTTTTGCATCATCGTTTATTACAAAGAGAAACCTACAATTACCTTTTTTAAGCAAAATTCAAGGCTCCAGGACTCATCTCTGGGGCCTGTCCCTCTTAAATACTAGTAGGAGAAGGGGAGAAGAGAGTTAGCTGCTCTTAGCTCCTACCAACGCTCCCTACCCCCTCCCCGAGTGCAGCGCCCTTTGAGGATGTGTGCGGGGAGCCATGGGGTCCCTCACCTGGCCTTCTGCAGCACCACCCAGCGTCCTTCTCTCCCCGCACACCTGTGCACCAAGTTCCAGGAAGCTTCCTTCTTGTGATGGAAAGTGAGCTCAAGTTCAGGGTCTCCACCTCCTCCAGCTCCAGGAAACCACCCCATCGTGTGGCTTCTGGAAAATTCACTCTCAGAATTGGTCCAGCGAACAGTTACAGGTAGAGAAGGTAGAGGGAGCAACTGAAACTCACCCTTGACCCTGTGCCCCTGGAGGAAGTGAAGTCTGTCCGCTCCCTCTCTCCATTTCTTGCCATGCCCACCTCCCTGCTGGCACCGCCACAGCGAGGAGGGCCGTCCTTCCTGGGTGGGGCTCTCATCCTCGGACTGGAGTGCTTCTGTATGTGCTGGGGGACGTGGGAGTACCCTGGGATCTCCCAGGCCTTCCAGAAAGCTGGGGTATATAAATACAAACCTAAAACCAGACATTTCCTGCCAGCAGGCATCAGCTGCCCCCACGGCTTCAGCTGTGGCCAAGGAGGCCAGCGTGGCAAGCTCCTGTCTCAGATCCGGCTGACGGCAGGAGTGGGGAGGTGCTAGCATCCTCCTTGGCCCCCTTCACTGTCCTTTGTCTTCCCTGTCATCAAAGAGGTTGGGGTTCTCTGCCAACGTGGCTCGGACTTTCTTCTTCTCCTTGAAGCGGCCCGAATTGGAGACTTTGACATGCTTGCCCTTTGTGTTCTTGTCCACAATCTTCTCCAGGCGGGTGTTAAAGTTGCCGTCGGGGCCTCCGCCCTCGGGCCCAGGGGGCTCTGCGCTGCCCTCTGTTTGGGCATAGGTGTCGGGGATCTCATAGAGCACCTTGGGTGTGGATTTCTTTTTCCGCAAGAAGGTCAGCTTCCACCAGCCCACTTCGGTCATGGCGTTCCCCGAGCCAAGGGTGGGGCTTTCTGCAAGAGTAGGGTGGGACAGTGAGAGGAGGCAGTGGGGGAGCAGGGGGGTACCTCGGAGCAGCCCTCTCTAAACTCCTAATCGTGGGCTATTTCAATAGTCCAGGCCTGAAAGAATTGAAGGTGAAGCTGAATGAACCCAGGAAGAGAGGGGAGAGAGGGGCCTGGGGAAGGGGCAGCCAAGTGGACATCAACAGGCCAAGGGGCCGCGGGACAGCCACATACTTTTGCCATGCAGGGTTGTAGGGAGCTTTGAGATTCCAGGCCCCTCAGGGCTGCAGGGAGGTGAACGGCTTGCCTGGGTCACCCAGCACCCAGGCCACTGACACCCTTCCCAATTTCTTCCCACTAGGCCACCAGGCCCTGCCGCCAGGAGCCGGCAGGTGGTTGGCTGGTATCAGATGGGTAGAAACACCCTGTGCATTTTGTTTAGTATTCATTATAAAATAAATAGGACTTACAAT